GATTAAAAAAAAGCACAAGAAACAATAAAAAATGCAGACTGGACATCAATAAAATAAAAAAAACCTTTTGTGTATTGAAGATTACTGTAAAGATTGTGAAAATGCTTCCTCTTCACCCCACTGAAAACAGAGAGATTTCTTCTGTAAGGCTATGGACATAGTTAAACACTTAACAACTGACACTGGACAGGTAAATGAGATTGATAGCACATTATTAGTCACGTGTACTCAAAGCCCAGAGGAAGAAAACACCACACACCATGCATGGGGTTATACTTAGGAAAAGAGTGAATATGCAGGATGCTATGGTATGAATGTGTTGGAAACTTTAATCCCCAAAGCATCAGTGTTGGGAGGTAGGGCCTTTGGGGAGATGGTAAAGTCAGAAGGGCTCTGCCCACCTGAATGGATTAATGCCATCATAAAAAGTTTTGAGGAGGTTGTTTGGTCCATTTACACACTTCGTTCCTCTCCCTGTAAGAGAACAGAGCAGCCCTCCTCTCTGAAGAATGCAGCAACAGGGCATCACCTTGGATGCAGAATTGGCAGCTCCATTACTGAACAATGAACCTGCAGGCCCCTTGATCTTGGATTTCCCTCCTCAGAGTGATAAGAAATAAATTTCTATTGTTTATAAATTACCCAGTAAATACTACTTTCTTATAGCAGCAAAAGCAGACTATGATATAGGGTCTGTTTAAACAAACAGGCTTCACAGTATCAAAAGCCAGAGATAATGCTGGGTTCCAGCTGGAAGATGAGCATGGTATGTTTCAGTGATTCCCCAGCTGTCAGAGAATAGAAATGAGGGGTCATTGGAAACCTCCTGTTTTCACCAGATGTCAAGACCACATATAATATGGACCTTAATTTTTTGGCTTTAAATCACAATAACAACCCATGGAATAGGAGAAAGTATTTGCAAATCATATATGATAAGGGTCTATTATCCAGACTGCATTAAGAAGTATTACAACTAAACAACAAAAAAAGACCAATAAACCAATTTAAAAAGGGGCAAAGGATTTGAATAGATATTTCTCCAAAGAAGATATTTAAGTGGCTAGCAAGCACTTTAAAAGATAAAAACATCATTATTCAATGAAGAAATACAAATCAAAACTACAAAGAGATACTATTTCACATCTGGAGATATAAAACAGTGCAGCTGCTATGGAAAAGTTTGGTGGTTCCTCAAAAGGTTAAATACAGAATTACCATATGATTTAGCACGTATATGCCCAAAGAATTGAGAATGGGTACTCAAACAATTAAGTAAATATTCATAGCAACACTATTCGCAATAACCAAGGGGTAAAAATAACCCAAATGACCACCAAGGGATGAATGAATAAACAAAATGTGGCATAAACACTTAATGGAAGATTATTTGACCATAAAAGTAAATGAAGTCCTCATTATGCTGTAACAATGCATGCATCTCACAAACATTATGCTAACTGAAAGAAGCCAGAAACAAGAAAGTTGTGTATTGTATGACTGTATTTATAAAACATATCCAGAATTGACAAATCCATAGTAACTAAAAGCCGATAGGTAGTTGCCAGGGACTGAGATAAGGTGGGAGGTTAGGTAGTACTTGCTGAAGGTACTGGATTTTCTGCTGGGGTGGCAAAAATGTTTTAGAAGACAGAGGTGTTGTTATACTCAATATGCTTGAGGATATTTCATTTCTTCATGCCATGAACACAACATTCTTTCAATCGAGAACAGTAGTTCTCAACACTGACTATATATCAGAATCACTTCAGAAGGTTTTTTTAGAATGCCTAAGGCCTGGAGCCTATCAACTACAGCAGAATCTCTCGGGAAAGGTCAGGAATCTAGGGATCAGGAGGTCATTATAAAAGCTCTCCAGATGACTCTAGCATACAGCCAGGTTTGAGAATAACTCACCTAGCATATTCTATATATATCCCTTTTCTTTAGCCTAGTGTGCAGTTTTCTAAACTCCAATTATTCATGGAACTGTTTTAGAAAATAACATTTTCCTAGAATTTTAGGTATTTCACTTGAATTTCAAATATATCAGCATAAAGTTGCTCATATTGTAACATCATCTATGTTTGCTTATTTGTCTGTAGTATTCTTTTCTTCATTCCTCATATTGATTATTTTGTCTTGTCTCTTCTGTTTCTAAATTAACTCTCATAAGGGCTTATCAATTACACTGTTTTGTTCAAGGACTAGAACTTCTGCCCTTATTATTTTTTCCCCACTGCAAGTTGTCCATTTAATTTCCATTCTTATCTTTATTATTTACTTTTATTTTCCAAGGGTTTCACCAACACTTCTTTAGTGGTTTCAGGTGGAGACTTAGATGGTTTAGTTTCTTTTTTTTTTTTTTCCTGATACATGCTCATAAAGGTCTAACTTTCTCTCTGAGCACAGATTTAGCTGTACTTTACAAATAATGACATGCTATATTCTCATTATTATTCACTTCAAACTAATTTTGAGCTTCCTTTATACTTTCTTCTTTGACCTATGGGTTATACAGAAGTATATTATTTAATCCACATATTGGGGATTTTCGTTGATTTCTAGTAAATTGTACCACGGTCAGTGAGCAAACTCTGAATTATATCAAACTTTTGAAATCTTCTGAGGCTTGGCATAACTAATTTTGGTAAATGTTCCATGTACACTGGAGAAGGATATGTAATCTGCAACATTTTGGTGCAATATATGTAGGTCTAGTTTATTAATTATACTGCTCAAGTCTTTTAGATACTGATTCTTTTGCCCACTTGATAGAAAAGTTAAAGTAAATTCATAGTCCTTTACTGTTAAGTTTGCTTAAAGTTCTGTGAATTTTTGTCTATATATTTAGAGTTATGCATATATATAGTTATGTTAGGTTTCATTGGATAATATTTGCATCTTTGGATCTTTTATACCTTTGCTTTCAATATTTCTGTGTTCTTGTATGTGAGGTATCTCTTAAAAGTAAAATAAATTTATATTAAAACAATCTTTATTTTTCAGAACATTAATACCATTTATACTTAATGTAAGGTAGGGTAAGTCTGGGTTCACATGTACAAACTTACTCTTTGTTTACTGTTTACATCTTTTTTTAATGTTTATTTTCTTTCTTGCCTTCTTTTGGATAAGCAAAGTACTTTTCCCTGTTTATCTCTTCTATTAAGTTTTGCTCATACAAAATAAATTTTTTGTTTTGTTTTTTGGAGTTTTTTGAGACAGGATCTTGCTCGGTAGTTCTGCCTGGCCTTGAACTCACTATGTAGTCCCAGGCTGGTCTGGAACTCACTCACAGCAATCCTCCTGCCTCAGCCTCCCAGGTGCCAGGATTACAACCATGTACTACCATGCCCAGCTACAAAACAATTATTTTACTGATTATTATTTTAAAATATACATCCTTGATTCATTAGTCTAATATAAATTGGTATCTTTATCAAGTTATCAAAGCTAGGTAAAATCTTAGAGTGCTTTAGTTCTGCCTTTTCCCACCTTTATCTTAGAATCATTAATTACAAGTCTATATACATTTATACATATGCACATTATATTTAGAAAGCAATGGCTATTTGTTTTATGAAATTAATTTAGACATACTCATATTTATCCCTTCTGTTGCTCTTTGTTCCTTCCTGCATTTCCATGTTTCTATATGAGATTTTAATCCTGTCTTTGCTCTTTCCTTTAAAGTAGGTCTGCTGAGTTTTTCTTGATCTCAACGGTCTGAAATGTCTTTGCTCTTACTTTTGAAGGGTATTTTCACTGGGAATAGAATTATAAGTAGGCAGTTATTTGCTTTCAGTTCAGTATCTAAAAAATACCACATCAACTTCTGGTTTCTCTTTGTTTCTGTTGAGAACTTAGCCTCTGATCCTATTATAAACCTTTCAAAAATAACATGTTTTTTTCTCTAGTCGCCTTTCATATCTTCACTTTGTCTTGGGTTTTCAGTTGTTTAAATATTCCTTAGTATTTTTCCTTGTAGTTATTCTGTTGTTACTTTTGGAATTTGTAGCTTGATGTCTTTGACTAAATAAAAAAAATTCCAGGTAATTATCTCTTGCAATACTGTGTTTACCTCTTACTCTTTCCACCCGCTCTGTGACTGCACTTACATGTATATTTGAGGACATTTCTATTGTATCTTCCATGTCTATCACTTTTCTCTACATTCCACGTCTTTTGTTACTTGTACTTTAGTCAGGATACTGGTGCTCCTTGACTTCCACCAGGGTTAGGTCCCCATAAAACCATCACAAGTTTACAATGTCACTGAGATGAAATGCGTTTAATATACCTAACCTACAGGGCGTCACAGCTTAGTGGCACAGTGCTCTCCGAGCGTCGGCTGTTTACTCTTTTATCCATGTGGCTGCCTGGCAGCTGTGGATCACTGCTCCTGCCCAACAGTGTACTAGTGGGTATCGTGCTACATACTGTTAGCCTGGGAACACATCAAAATTCTAAAGATGGTTTCCACTAAAGGTACATTACTTTCATACTGTTATAAAGTCAAAAAATTGTTAAGTCAAGTCATACGTCAGGGCTTTCAACGGACCTGCCTTCACTAATTTACATTTCAGTTGTGTTCAATTTTCAACTGACCTGTCTTCACTAATTTACATTTCAATTGTGTTCAGTCTAGTACTAAACACTTTACCCTTTTCCTGGTTGGTTTTCTCACAAATTTTTTGATCATTTCACTTGTTAAATGGTAGGTAACAGGTATTGTATGAAAACAAAAATGAAAGGAAAGTAATTGAATTTAAATGAATTAATTTTGATAATATCAGCAATTTTTGGAGGTGCTGGAGTTCAACCATTAAAATCTAATTGAATAACTACATTTTATTTAAAACAAATGAGACACTTTACAAAGGCTACCTAAAAGTTGCTACAATGTAGGTCCGTATTTTAATATTGTTAATATATCCGATGTTTCATCAATATTTTATACTGGGTTGATGTTAAAAAGAAGTTAAAAAGACACTTACTCTCTTTCCTTCTCAGTCAGCTTGTCATTGATATTATCTTTGATTGTTGATCTAGACCCCTTATGAATTATGGGATATCTGAGGGGCACTTGTAGGAAAAAGGAAATCATGGAGACCAAATGTGCAGTGTAACCAAGGGCAACAGCAATGCTTCCATCATCTTTTGCTGTAAATTCAAAAGCAGAGGAAAAGAAAACAACCATTTACCTTATAAATGTAGCTGTGAGATCATAAACAAATATTAAAGGATACCTTGTAAGTGGTAAATAAAATATTAATCACTTATCTAAATTATATGCATTTTATGCAAGTCTAAACATTAATGAGACTTGAAATCTCATCTACTAACTATATTTAAAATTATTAATGTGCTCTTATTAGCATTTGATATATACCTTAAACAATAATTCTTAGTGCACCCAAATATCCATTGCTTTCTTTCTCATCATTTCTAAAAGGGAAATCACCACTCGAAACTATATATGATGGGAAAATAAGTTTTAGAGGCTTAAATATAGCGTACTATATAATTATTATACATCTTATTCATTAACAACTTTCTAGGCATACTTATTATTATTGTACTATTATACATCACTATAAATTCTGAAGTGAAGGAACAGGGATATAGGTCAGTGGCACAGCGCCTGCCTGGCAAGCACAAGGTCCCGAGTTCGATTTCCAGTACCCAAAATAAATAAATAAAATAAATTCTGAAGTGAAATAAAATAGCACAATATATCCTCATGAGGTTATGTTTTTGATATAAGGTAGTATTGCGTAAGTAGATCCATGATATTTGAGATGGGCTAAGGGAGAAAAACATTTAAATAGTAAGAGCTTAATCACAAAAATTGCATTCTTCACACCACTGCATACAAGTGAGGTGGAAGTAACTATTGGGGAAAATAAAAATCCACACATCATACAGCCAAACATAAACATCTAGCTTTTCAAAAGGCACAGATAACTACATTTTAACACTCATTTATCCAGACTTCTGTGCCTACCTATAAACTGATTAACAATGATTCAGGTATTCAGAACTGAAAGTAATGCACATGTTTTAAATTTCCCTCAGAGGGGGCTGGGGATATAGTTCAGTGGCAAAGGGCCTGCCTGGCAAGCACAAGGTCTTGAGTTTGATTCTTGGTACAAAAAACATTAAAAAATAAATTTCCCTCAGAGAAAGGAAAAAGTAACCGTGGTATATGACAATCTTAAAATACATTAAAGCCAGGCATGGTGGCGCTCGCCTGTAATCCCATCACTTGGGAGGGTGAGGCAGGAGAATCGTTGCGAATTCGAAGCTGACCTGGGCTACAAAGTGAGTTCAAGACCAGCCTGAACTGAATAGTGAGGCCCTGTCTCAAAAAAAAAACAAAAACAAAAACAAAAACATTAAAAAGTGCACATGCATGTATTGTGCACACACTCTCACACTAAAAGATTTAACACATAATCTGAATTCCCCAGCTGGCAAGAGAAGAAGGCTGGAATGATTAAGATGGCCATGGCTTGACTATTTCCTGATTTCTAAGGGTGCCTTGAACCTTAATTATTAGTAATATTTTTCACATTCTTTGCTTGTAGTCATATCTCATTATCTAAGCACTACCTTTCTATAGTAGGAAAGACACTACAGGTATCCATTCCTTAGGAAATTCTCTATCTTTTTGTCACCATAATGAATTCTTGGTTTCTCTTTGATAATCCTATAAAAACAGGTAACCTTTACTACTATGTATTTTTCTTCTGTCCAGAATTGCCTGCAGTACTTTACATCTGACAGTTATTCACTTGCCAACAGTTACTAAACTGGGCTTTTTAAAAATCCTATTTCATTCAATCTATAGATAAACTAAAGCTCAAAGAGATTAAAGAAGCTGTCCAAAGTATTAAAGCTAGTAAATAAGCTGGCCTGACACCAAGTCCTCTCTCCTTAACCACTCTGCCATACTGTCTCAAAACCTTATCGTTAAAAATAATATATTTTAACTTGGGAGCCTAAAATGGACCAAGCACGTAACACACATGTGTCATAATCTTACTTTCTTCACTTTTCTAGTAAGGTCAAAGAATGCATAAAAAGTTTATGAGTCCTCAATAACTTATATAGTACCTGACAGGAAAAGGACTTTGCAATCAACATTTGTCATTCTCTCAAAACAAACTCATGAAGAAAAATATTAAAACAGCATTAATTACAACTGACTACTGAGTCAGGTACTCACTAACTAGAATCGTAATTGTTTTAGAGAACGTATCTATTGTCCCAATCCCACCCAAGTACATTCCTTGATCACTACGACAATACTTTGCTTCTTTTGAAACCTACATATCATACTACCTTAGCGACTATAATTACTGTACACTACAAATTCATCTTCATATAATATTACAGCTAGGAGAAACCTTAGAAACCAAGGAGATTCACACTAACAACTCAAAAACACAAAGAAAAAGTCATATAGACCAAAAAAAAAAAAAAAAAAAGTAACAGAATGAGTGGGGGGAAAAAAGAGCAATTAGCCACACTTCAGAATATCTTTGCTCCCAAAATATTTAAATCTAGAGTCTTGAACTGTGACTATGAGTTCCTTCACAGTTTCCTGAATCCTGCCTCCTGCCTTCCATTAACAGGCCTTACCAATCTGAAAATACTTCTGTGAAGAACATGGTCTTTAAGAATCTTTTGAAGGAAGTGAAGAAAAAAAAGAATAGGACTTAGAATAAAGAAGGACAATATTATGCAAAGTTGGGACTCTGCTATACATGTACTATGCTAAGTAAGCTTTTCCCTTCCTACATGGCCTAGTACAAAAAGATTTAAAAACATCCTGAAAGCAACAAAAGGTCTCTCTTATTTTTTATTTCTTAAATTTTTTTAAAAGGTCTCTTATTAGTCTGCTAAACAGCTCAAGTGCAAGCCACAAGTGCTTTTAAAAATCTACCAAATGCTAAACCCTCAAGCATCTACATTTTTGTCACATTACACAAGGGCTAATGCTAGAGAGCAGTATTTGCATATTTTGGGGCTATACATCTTTCTTAAAAGTACAAAGAACTGTACTTCTAATATCACTTCTTTCTGAAGAACAAAACAAAGCTGCTTAAATTTAAACATAAAGAGGCATCTCTAACACAGCCTACAAATAGAAATCAAAAGCCAAAAAGAAACAGCAAACAATGCAAATTGAATAATATTGGAAATCAGCTTTGATTCAGGCTATTCACACTCACCAGTGCTGCCACAACTCCCTGCTCCACCTATTAAAAACCTCAGGTTGTTTCCCATTGCAGGCCACAGTGCTCCATCACAGCCTAACCGTTATACACTGTGGTGTTGGATTTCCAATATTGAAGCTTTATATTAAAAAGTATTTTAAAAGGACCACGGGTGAAGCATTACAGGGCCCAAGGGTATGCCAATACCCTCAGAAGGAAAACCACCTCCCGGTAGGGAAGTCACTTTCATCACCCCAAGACCACTGAAACTCCAGTGGGAAAATGTGAACTCATGCGGTTAATTATGGCTATTGCAGGGCATGCAACCTCAGATGTCACATTCTGTTGCCAATCACTTTAGCTAAAAACCAAAAGGTTTAAGGTTTCCAGCATTCCAAGATCTGAAAGACTTTTTTACCTGCCAAAGCCAAAACACGGCTCTCTGGGGTGTGCTTTTCCAGCAAGCATTAATGACGTCCATAACACCTAATGCAGAGCAGAGGTTTGTGTTTCTTATTCTGCTCTTGGGGTTAGAAAGGTCACAGATGATAGTTTTGTTGGTAAGAAAAGTCGGAAGGGGAGTGGATGGCCCATGGACCAAGAGGAATAAACTGTAAGATTCAGGTATGCAAAACAGTTACAAATTCAAGCATGTTTTAAGGGGCTTAAAAACAAAAGTCCATAGTTTCCTCATTAGTAAGTATTTATGGTTTACTTTTTCAATACAGAAAGCCTTCCAAGGCTGCAGCTTTTGTATAATTTTTATGACAATAAATTCCATAAACACACAATGGCCACAACAACATTATAAATTAAATCAAATGTTTGATTTATATGTTGATTTATATGTTGGACAAAATATTAAAATGCATCCAAGTACAATAAGTGATCTAAAAGCTCTTACCATCCTGCCTTCCCAATCACTGAGGTAGCTGATTTGTTAAGGAACCAAGCACCCACTGATCCAGACAGGACAAAATATTTAAGACTCTAATCACTGCCACAGCATCTATGGAATCAGTCCATGTTTTCAATGAGACACTGTTTGACATATGGACTCTCCTTTCCAAGAAATCATGCCTGCATAAAGGGATACAGACACAGAAGGAAATCTGGGTCTCATTACCACAAAAGGCTCTTGTGTTATGGATTACTTCAAAACACACAGCACAAACATTGTTTTTTAACTGAACGTCTCAGTCAGTGGAACTCAGATGAATACCCTTTACTGGACAATTTTCTCCCATTGTGTCCAGGTCTCTGTGGCATACTCTAACAGTAACTTACCCATTGAGAAAAGCACAACAAATGTTGGGCCCCTACAGTGCAGTTACCCAAGCAGTATGAACCCATGCAGTATAAAGTTTATCCAGCAAAGTCTCATAAATAGCACAGAGTAACCAGTTTGGAGTAGCTTCACTAACCTCTGCTAGAAATGCAGCTGCTATAGAGTTGTCAGAGGCTCAGAAGAGGTTCGAAAAGAGGAAGAAAGTTACTTCATGACAGGACCACTGCACATAAGAATCAGGCAGATCTGTGCCACCCTTAGCTTTACCACTGGCTAACAGGAGTCCTTGAAAAAATTAACTAATCTCTTTGAGCCTCAATTTTCTTCTTTTATAAAAAATTGAGGGCGATTTCTTTCCTCAGAGAAGGAAATACTTCTCACAACTCTGAAACTTAAATAACTGTGATAACGTCATGCACGATGCCCCTCCTACCCTTCTTTCCATGGGAGAATATTATTCATCTCTTATAATCGCTCAGGTATCTTCTCCCTACAAAGGTTTTCTTGAACCCCTTCTGAGAAAACTGATCGTTCCTACTTTGTCACCCACAAAACTGGTACAACCTCCTAAGATGTGCCAGGTTATGGAAGTAGGTTATGGATTCAATACATATTTCCTGGCTTCATTAGAAATCCAATGCCCTCAACAGGACCATTATCTCACTGAGGATGGCCCAACATCTTAATCCTCTTTCTATATGCTCAGCATCTGGCAACAGTAGACAGCAAACAGGGCACTCAACACATTTACTATACAGAAGTGCCTTGCTGAACGATAACATATAATTTTAAAGTCCAATACTACTACATATCCTTCTTAAAATTTCTAATTTTGAGGGGTTATGGAGAATAAATAGTACCTTAGAGTAAAATTTATTTTATCTCCCATTTCATTTTTCAGCAACTGCATTAAAAAGTTACACTAGTTTTTTTTTTTTTTTTAAGAGTATGGAGAACGTGTTTGGCTTAATTGGACATTCTAAGTGCAGACAGCTACAAAATGAGGAAAAACTAGGAAACAAGGCACTTTGAGGAAAATAAAAATAGAATCACAAAACCTCTGTGAGTGAACTAAAGGAAAAGACCACCACTACTGCTGTCTTTGCTTCCCTTCCAATCAATCCGTATTTGGCAGCCAGGGTTTCAAGCAGAGCTCAGCACATGCCATGCCCTTCTTGAAATCCTTCAGGCATTGTCCACTGCACTGAGTATTAAACAGAATTTCCTTACAGCGGCCCCACTGATCTCTCCTTCCTCTGCTAACATACTGTTCCCCTTGCTCATCACGGTCCAGCCAGTTTTCTTTTTCTTTCTTTTTCTTTCTTTTTCTTTCTTTTTCTTTCTTTCTTTCTTTCTTTTTCTTTCTTTCTTTCTTTCTTTTTCTTTCTTTCTTTCTCTTCCTTCCTTCCTTCCTTTCCTCCCCTCCCCTCCCCCTTTGTAATTAATTCCTATATTTATTGAACATTGCCTATATGAAAAGCTCTTTCAAATGTTATCTCAATCACCACAATAAATGAGAGATACAAATATTATATGATTTTATAGGCAAAGAAATTAAGATGAGAAATTATGTGATTTGTCTAAAATACAAATCTTTTCTCCCACAGCCTGCTCTGAGTGTCAGGTGCCCCTGGGTCATGATGGGCCCCTCTGCTAGGAATGCTCTTTCCTCAGCAGCAGCACTGCTGGCTCCTTTCAGCCTTCAAATTTTCTGTCAAATGTTTCTCCTCAGGTCTTCTCTCACTGCTTTGTCTATAGTAGGTTCCCTCATCCTCTAAGATAGCATATTCTTTTATTAAATATGCATTCATTACTAATTTTCTTTTTATTGGCTACTTTCTTCAATAAGGTGTATCCACCATGAAAGGAGAGAACATGTTTGCTTTTTTCATCATTACATTCTTTAAAATCATTAAACCTGGTTTAAAGGTATTCAATAACCATTCTTTTTCAATTAATGAATGCATACAATGTGTGCCATGGACTTCAGGACATCACAACGGACTAAAGCTAACAGTGAAGTGCATCTGTGTAACTTTCAGAGGCTTGAAGAAGCACTGTACAGTTCCCCGCTATATCACTACCTGGTTTTGTAGTCTTGAGCAAGTCACTCAATGCCACTTTTCTCACAGGTTTCCTATGGTTTTGTGAGGATTACAGTTAAGGCAAAACCTCATATTTATGGATATTGGTATAGCTCACTCAGTTTTCCCAACAATCGTGTAAGACAGGGAAGATATGTGTCCATGCTATTGACAGGAAAACCAACTCAAGGTTGTATATGACTTGCTCCAAACTACCTGGTTGATGGAACAGATAATTTTCAACTCCTGGTTTATCACTCTCCTATGTCAAATCCCAACCGCTTGTCATATAGTCATTGGGGTAATTAAAACAATTTAAATACCAAAGGTCCATAAATAGTTTCTTTAAAAAGAAAAGGAAGAAAGTCCTGATCAAAATTAGTAAAGTTCTCTTCCTTAATAACTTCTTCTCAAATAAATATGTACACTAGCTTTGAAAATCATATATAAAGATATTTAGTAAGCCCCAAAGCATCATTTAAGCTAAGGGAAAAAAATCCACTTTGTTAACAAAAATAATTTCTTATCTCTAATGTTTTATCTAATAATTATTCTCTTATTCTCTTCAATGGTTTGAACAACCTTCCATTCTTACATCTGGTAATCTGAGTAATGTAGTTGAGGATAGTGATATGTAATATAACAACCACTGTTAATTTGTATTATTTTGTCTTGAAACCCTGTATCACTTTAAACGTTCTTGCTGTGATTTATTTATGTTTGTGATACTGGTATGCTGCTACTGTTCTTTTTTTTGTTTCTCATTTAATACTCTCTTTAAAATAAAATTTAAAAAAACAAAAAAACCCCCCAAAATAACCTCTTTTTCTTGGAATGTTTGTAAAGAGAATAGGAAAAAAAAATCTTAAAATATAGGAATTATTAGAAATCACATTCCATAGCACCTTTAATGCAAAAGAAGAGAGAAATGACAGTACAATAAATTAAACCTATGATTGTGGGAATGTCACAAAATTTAATTTAATTTTAATTACTTTGCATGTTACCAGGAAAATGACTTTGCAAATAGTAGAGCAGTTAATGTTCGTTGTTTCTCTGCTTCTAACCGCCACTAAACTTTTAATGAAAATCAAGCAAAAGTGATAGGGAGATTCTTAGTATTCCTAAGAACGCTACTTCCTAGTTTGCTTAACACACATTTAAAAACAATTTTCTTTTAAATTTCACACACAAAGTTCAATAATTATTTTTTCAAGATTAAATCAAATATTTTGTTATACCTCTCATCAGGGAACTGGACTGTACATACTCCTAAGTGGGATAAGACACAACATCCAAAAGCCCTTTTGGACAAAGTGTTAGGCAACCAACATTCCAAGATAATTCTAATCCCTTACATTATTACATACCAAATATTTAAAAGTAAGAAATAAAATACCTTGGAAGTCCTCAGAATTAGGCAATTTGACACTGCATACAAAGTAATCCTTATGTTCATTCTGTGAATTTAACCAAAGAAAGAAATTAATTCTTTTCATATATGAAGAAACTCTAAGTTGAATCTCAATACTCAGTGTCAACTCAATACTGTCTTAGTCTCAAAATATTATCATAGTTGTTGAAGCTGGATGACAACTACACGATGACTCACTACATTATCTCCTATATTTATACACACTTGAAATTTTCTATAATAAAAACATTTAAGATATCACACCCAAAGAAGTCATATAAAATTATCATAGAAGTATCTTCTGGCTAATTCATATTAAATAAGATTCTGTGAGCAAACTCAAATGCTGCTAACTTTCTTCTTTGAAAATCAGTGTTTTAAAATAACTTTCATTAATAAGGGAACCATCAAATTTAACAGATTTGGTTCTCTAAAAAAGAATCCTAATCAGTTTTATTTAAGTTTTACTTGTATTTATTCTAAGAAACTAGGTTCAAAATGTAACACTGTGACATTTATCCCCAGGAATATCTTAATGAACACCAGTAAATATAAATTAATTAGCAACTACATTTTTAAAACAGTGCACATGCATCTGCAGGTATCTGTCAGAAATGGTAGTAGTAAATAATACGGTCTCTAAAGAAACCATAAATAATTTAGTATTATTTCCAATAAGTCATCCCACCACTAAACTGATTAAAAAATAATCAAACTGTGGAACCTAATGCTAACTGTCTCAATATACATTTTAAATAGATAAAAGCTCCTGAATTGATCACAAGAAAGCATATGATTAAAACTACAGCAGTGAGATTTTTCTCATTGAGAAGAAATTTCAAATGGAAATCATCTTTGCAAAAAAAAATCTTTTAAAATTTGAAACTTACCAAATCAATAGGGTAAATGTAGGAAAGCTCAGAGAGTAATTGCCTGCAACGAATTGTCAACTGGGCATTAGTCTTCAGAAAGAGTTCTCTAATGAAGAAAGAAAAAAAAAAAACACTTACTTTTAAAATGTTTGCATGCTTTCTAACATTTATTTTCATATAATTTGTGCAGAGGAAGATTAAATGGTCTGGAGATCACAGGAACTCAGATGTAGAGGTAAGAATAATAGCTACCATGAGTCCTGATTTATCCAAATATGGTACTGTGTGCCCAGCAATATGCTAAGATGTAAAGGGCATTCACTGAGCACCTACTAATATACTGAGCATGTTACAGATAGCTTTGTTCAATTATTATAATTCTCCTAGGTTGGTATTATTCTATCCATTCATAAACAAGAAAATAAGACTTAGTTATTTTTGTTCTTTGGAGATGATGTCTCTGGCTACACAGTCCAGGCTGGTTGAGAATTTATGATCCTCCTGACTCAGGCTCCTAAGTGCTGAGATTACAGGGATATGCCATCACACCCGGCTAGCAAACAAGATTTCAAAAGGTTGAATGAACCGAGCAAAATTTCATAGCCATTACTTACAAAGGCCAATTTGATTTCAGCAAATATACAGGTGGTATTTCCTTAAAAATTATTTCATTCACAAATATATATCACAGCTACCTTGAAAAACAATAAGCTGGCTTTCAATTTGCAGTCTTCTTGCATCAGCCTCTTAACTACTGAGATTACAGACCTGTGCCACTATGCTGGCTAGGTCTAATATTCTTAAATCTTTAATTGGTAAGACTTCTCAAAGGAAAATGCAGCCTGGGGGTACTTTCAGGAAAATGAATGAAGACAAAAAAAAGTACAGAGGTGACAATGAAGTAAACACACGTTGGGAAAAATAAAAACTATTAATTAACATCATGCTATATTGGGGCGTGACTCAAATTACCCATAGTTGTATAACACCAATTTATTGAAGACTATTTGAAAAGTGAGCTAAAAAATTACTATATTAAGAAGAGAAAAATGTGCTATAAATACTAGTTTAAGAGGAGAGGCCTGAGAGCAACATGGAAGCTAAATGGCAAGAAGTTGGAGAGATTTTCTAGGTACTGTTGAGCTAATCCAAGAAGCTGTCAAGAAGCAGGAGTCAATCAGAAGAAATTGTTAAAGAACAAACCCATAAGCTCAACTGCTTGTAGAAGACAGGATGAGAAAGTTAATATATTAAGCCCTGGTGCTATAGCTGGGAAAACTAAAACAGTATCTGTATTTCTGATTATGATTATAGCCTAGCAGCTTTCCTAACTGCCTCTACTATAGTACATGACACAGAGTAGGCACTTAAATATCAACGAAAGAATGAATCCGTATTGAGGTACATAGAATATAAATTAATACTAGCAGTTTTCAAAGAATGCTACTTTGTTTTGTTTTGGGTGTGGAGAATCAAACTCAGCCTTTATCACTGAGTGATAGCACCACCTCAAGACTGCTGTTTTTCCAGAGCGATCCTCACAGTAAATTTAACACAGCAGTTCCACTCAGCGTTGCCTTTACCTTTTTGCAGTGCACTCCTTCCTCAACTCATTTAGGGCTTCCTTCTGGAGCTGAAGCTTGAGATGCTCAGTTGAAAATGTGCTTCCTAAAAAGAAAATTGGAAGGAGACAATTCAAGACACTGCAGACAGGTATGTTCAATCACAACTACCCAGGCACAGCCCAGTCCCCTGACTGTGAGAAGAGAATGAAAAGACAGAGAGAGTAAAGTGTGTCAAGTATAGAGGCCTTATGGGGGAGTTAAGTAGAACAGACTTCCCTATCTGTTCCATTTTCATACACGTCTGATCTCTAGCGTAAGCCAAAGGATCGGAATCTAAGACTTTTTGCCCACAGATTTCTGAACAAGAAACCTTGATGAGATGTCAAAATTCAGACATTTAAAAAAATAAGTGGTTAATTCCTTGTCAACCACAAATGCTACATAACATTACTGAAAATATAATACATAGAACAGGAAAAATTACTTGCACTTTGATTAGTATAATACAGTTCATAAGTATGTTTTTATGAACTCTCACCTTGTTCATAAATGTAAGTAGTTTTAGTGAAGATCACAGGCTACAGGAAATGTATATTCTGACTTTTCCATATTATGTCACAAGCATTTTTACATGTTGACAGACAATCTGAAGTTATGGCTATATAAAATTTAAGTCATAATGTGAATTATAAGAATATTCCATGTTTTATTTGATACCCTCATATCCCAATCCCATTATAGAACATTTAATTTCCTTTAAGTGTTTGCTTTAGAATTTTAAAGATTAATATTTGTGATTATATGCCTGAGTTTTGTGTTTATATCAACTTTGGAACCTCCATTTTTATAATACATTTTTTTAACTGTACATATTCTACTCTGAAAAAATGACAACTTCTTATGTTCTTGACAGTCCAGGCCTGACTGCAACTCTAGAGGTCCTCCAGCACACAGATAGAGGCTTAGATCCTAACACACTAAGTTTTATATTTTATAAAGGCAGCTAGTTTCATGAACTGTGATTCAATAAGAAAAGGATCCTAAACTCTTTGGCACAGCTGTTACTCCTACAGGGAAGAACAGACACGAGGTTAACTGTCCAGAATACACAGTCTGAGCCTTAGCACAAAACTCCCTAACCTAACAGTTTATTAACATATTTCTAAGCACACTTCTCTTTCAACTGTCAGATTTTAATCAAGTAACACCAATTATCTTCTTTAACTCCTAATATAATATACTCCTATAATTCCTCCTCAAATCTTTACCTTAATGATTCTATAAGAATTTAGGTTGACACCCATAACCCACATACTTAAATTGAAAATTATATGAATTCTTCCACCACTATAGAAACCTGCAATATTATTCTTCACTCCAGATCAGTTAGGCTGCCTCAATTAAACACTGCTGGCAAAGCCACAAGTAGGGATCCACAACAGATTCGGGCTTCAAAATGCCAATGTTCCCCTCCTCTTCTAAGTTCTGAAGACTTAAAACATGTTATTACTTGAGCAAAAGAAAAAACACTCTCACAATGTAGGAGAAGGAAAAATTAAATTTAAAATAAATCCTAAACAGCTAACAAACAGGGTAAAACATTAACAAGAGGTAAATCTGGATGAAGAAGATAAGTGTTTTTTGCATTCTTCTTATTGCAACTCTTCTGTAAGTCTGCAGTAATTTCCAAATAAAAAATTAAAGAACAGATCTAATTTCAGAAAGGGGTCATCTATAAAGCGATGGCTTTATCAGAAACAAAGGCTTAGAAATCACATTGGCACCTTGTCTCCAAAACATATATGGTTAAATTTCTACCAAAGGGAATACAGTTTATTTGTTTTAGGGGTGGGCTCAGAATAAAACTAAACGAGTTGGGGCTCAAAAAGTTAAGAACAAAGAATTTGAAGAGACCTCAAAAAACTCAACCTAAATTCTAAGTCATTTTGCAAGAAGCAATAATACTGTGGGAATGATGTATTCAACCTCTACCTCTACAGAAGTTATTCAAGTTATTTATTACCTGCCTGAATATTACATGACTTATGTTATGTCCTTCTAAGGGCATCATATTTAAACGCACAAATGTTAATCTTAAACATGTAATCTTTAAGACAATGAATCTATTCTGCTTCTCATCCAAATTTCTGCCTGTATTTGGCATTGATTTGTGACTTCTACTGAGTCAATCTTTCCTATTATGGTTGTAAAATAGTATTATAATTTCAGTACTTCCTCCATGTTAATCAGTTATCACTCAACATACTTCTCTAAGCAAGATCCCTCCCTTAATTATCAATTATTAGTGTGGAATCATGGATTAGTTTCATTTAATGATTTATAATTTACTGATGTACAGAATTATCTTGGGGTTCAAGTGGTCTGATTTAGCCATTAGGGTTATATTCAACCTGGCTCTAGTGTCCTTGCTACAGGCACGCTACCATTAAATTACTGAAATATCACCTTATTATCATTTCAAAGTTTGCAGGATCTGTAGTAATGTTCCTATCATTCCTGATAGTCATAATTTGTGTTTTTTCTTTTTCTACTTGGTCAGCTGGCTAGGGGCTTATCAATTCTGGTGATCTTTTCAAAGAACTATCTTTTGGTTTCATTGATACTGTCCAATCTTTTTCTCTTTTCCAATTCACTAATCTTTACCCTTTACTATTTCCTTCCTTCTGCTTGATTTGAGTTTAACACGTCCTTTTCCTATTTTGTTAAGCTATCAACTTAGAGCAATGACTGTAGGTATTTTCCCCTCCCCCTTCCTCTTCTGCTTCTCCTTCCCCTTCTCCTTTGATAGAGTCTTACTACATAGTTCAGGTTGGCCTTGAACTCCTCATAACCATCAGCCTCACAAGTATTGGGATTACAGGTATGTGCCATCATGCCTGGCTCTTCTTTTTAATATAAGCATCAAATGCTATAAAAATTCCATCTAAGCTTGCATCCCTTCAAACATTCATATATTTCCATTTTCATTTAGTGCAAAATATTTTTTTCTAACTTGCACTGATAGTTCTTCTTTGACCCATGGCTTACTATATATCTACTGTGCAAATGCCAAAGATCTGGAATTTTTCAGATCTTTCAACTAATGATTTTTATTTTCTCTTTTGGTGAAAGAATAGTGCTCTCTTTGGCAACACATATGCTAAAAATGGTGAAAGAACACTTTCTTTGTATGGTTTTATTTTATATTTGTTTAACAGAACCAAACATGGCTTGTCTAATTGTGTATTTAAAATATAAAGTATACTCTGCTACCATTCAGGAAATGGTGTACTATTATCAAGTAATCTGGTGATACAAGGTCTTTTCTTCTTGCTGATTTTCTCTGTAACTGTTCTATCAATTGCTGAGATGAGTATTCCAGTTTCCAATCACAGTAGTGCAATTTGGCTATTTCTCTTCTAGCTACAAGTGTTTGTTTTCTGTTTTGCAATACTGAGGATTGAACCAAGGGCCTTGCAAATGCCAGGCAAATGCTCTACCATTGTGCTATCTCTCTAACCCTTTTTAATTTTGAGACAGGGGCTCACTTCGTTGCCCAAGTTGGGCTTGAACTTGAAATCCTCCTGCCTCAGCTTTCTGAGTATCTGGAATGACAGGCATGCACCACCATGCCTCACTTTGCAAGTTTTTATGTGTCCCCTGGGAGAGCAAGGGTTTACAGCTCTCTCCTCAGGAGGTTAGCAATTTTGTTTTAGAGAAGGATTATACATTTTGTGCAAGAGATGACACCTCTCCTCTTGTCAATATCCAGGACAGGTACACACAGAAGCTGCAGGTAGACGGGAACTGCCTTACGATCGCTACAGTTTCACACTTGCTTGTACTTGACCAATCAGGATTAGTTGAAAGCTTTAGCTGCATTATTTTACCTTCAGCAGCACCAACGTCCTCCCTTCTCTGCCAGTGGTAATCAGTACTCACAACCTTTCTCCCTCCTTTTCCTCTCTGCCTGTTTCCCTTACACAGTGAGCTACTTCCTTGCCCTGCTCTCTGATGACTCAAGGAAATGTAATGACTCTGTACATTATGCAGCTTCTTCTTTAGGGATGACAGAAAACTCTTAGCAGCTTTCTACAGTCCAGGTGGAGTCAAATCTACGACTCTTACTTTATAAAAAGCTCTCCTCTGTTCTTTATATTTTTCTGTTCCTTTTGGGTCAGCTATTCTATTTGTACAGTTCAAATATCTGATGACCCTTAGCTCTCCCTTCAAATCCATGAATAAATGATTAGATTGATTAGTATAGACAACTGGTATAGGTTTCCTTTGAAGCTGTAAAGATTTATTTACATAAGAGGCCTCATTCCTCAGTGCCAGCGTGGTATAAGTGAGTGGGTTCTGTTAACAATTAGGCTTTCCTTCAGAGTATATATGCTGGGAGAGGGTAGTACCTTTATTTTAAACTAGTACAACTATTAAATAAAGGGAACTTTACTTGGGATTGTGTCATTTTAGGGCATTTTACTCTTAAGCAGAGCTGTCTTTCATGTTTTCCTCTAGGTTGGTTATAAAAGTCTTAAGTCATTTTAGGCCTTTCTACCACATCAGACACTTAGAGCATGGGACCTATGCAGGTCAAGAATCCATATGTTTAGAAATGAGCTAAATCAAATATAATAGGGAGTTACTCCAGATAAACAGAAGGAAGAGAATAGGCCAGTAGGCCCACCTACCCTGATTACTGCTCCAGGTAGTTCCTGATATCTGTACTTGGTAATTCCAAGCTGATATCTGTACTTGGTAATTCCAAGCTTGACGTCTCTGAAGGCTGTCTTTACCAGAAACTTTTACTATAGCATTTCCCATTTCCATTCTGGGCTACAGTTTTTCTCTCCTCTAGTATATTCACCTAAGCAGTCCTATCTAGTCTGTGTCTCTGAGAATGATGTCAAAATCTTTGCTAGTCTGATGGTCTCTTCATGTTTTTACCATTGTTGTGGATTTATTCTTTTGTTTTTATTTTGATTTTGAGACATGGTCTTGCTAAATCGCTGAGTTGCCCAGCATGGGCTTGAGCTTATAATCCTTCTGTTTTAGCCTCCCAGAGTGCTTGGATGACAGGCTTACGTCACCACACCCAAC